TGTATCAAAGCCATCAGTTGGTGGAAGATAAATTAATCCTCTGTAAGAAATTTGGAATAATAAGCATAAAAGATGTTTTCATTTATGATCAAAAGATAACATTTAGCAGTCCAAAATTTGGAAATTTTGAAGGTTGCATAGTGAATCAGTCTGTGAAAAGGAATAAGCACCACAATTCAAGTCCTAATCCCAATCCTAAATGTAGTAGACATGTTGGAACAAGTTACGCATGGGTCTTGTCTCATGAATCTAAGAAGAGGTATTTACATGAAGTTAGAACTTCAAAGAATATATGTAGAAGAAAAACCTAAGTAAGTTATGCATGACCCAATTTTTTAGTTCAAACATCAAAGCAGCATAATCAAGTAAAACCCCAAATCTTCAAGCGCACAACAATTGTAGAATAACTGGAAAGACTGATGGGATTTTATAATATGGGACAGCACAGTTGTATGAGTTTTCTAGACATCAAATCCTTTAATCATTTGATACATTTTAAAATTATTCATGATCAAGTAAAAAGGGTGAATCTAGTACACAAGGTTCCCACAAATGGAGAGTACTGGGACAGTCAATGTACCGCAATCTTACAACTACAAGCAAAGAGGCTATTTCTTTATGGTCAATTATAGGTTGAAATATTGGCTATTTCAGAGTTGTCTAAATCCATAAGCTTTATTATCATTCTTTATAAGATGAAATGGACAACCAGTGCACAACATTCATGAGGGTTGGGGAAGTTGATATATGCAGCGTCTCTCTATTCTCTTTTAAATGAAAGATAACAAAAGCTCATGAAATCAATCTAAAATTGAAAGAAGAGGAACTACAATTGTAAAGTATCCAAGCATTCCAAGTAGTGAATTGTGCGAGAACCTACGAGATTTACATAATGAATGAGCATAAGGGTAAAGTATAGTTTATGACTGGTCATACGAAAATATATGGGTAATTTGAAAATGCTCTTGTTAGCAACGAGTTCAATTTTACCTGGCATCTTCTCACACAGTATAGATGATTTCCGGAACACATCAGCTTTCTTCTTCAGATTGCTCAATCGGAGCAAGTTGTACATGTCCGTGCACCCAAACTCTTCTGGAATGCCGAAGGATGATAGGAAGAGGACCAGACCAAGTGCGTCCACGGCGCTTGCCACCTGCACGCCACCCTCATTGACAAGCCGAGTTCTCCAAGATAGAGCGGCCACCTGGGCATCCTTCTTAACCGATTCTTCCGGGTCCACGGAAGAACATCCCGAGAGAACGTAGAACTCCAGGATGAGGATACAGGCCCGGCGGAAGACGACCATGGGGTCATCCATGGGGCGGTCGTAGGCCTTGCGGCCTTGCAGGTAAAAGCGGCCCATTGCGTCGAGCACAAGCTTGGCCGGGCTGGGGGCGCGTCGGAGGGCAGCGGGAACCTCACCTCGGAGCCACTCGAGGTCGGAGAGGTTGGAGACAACGAACTTGCGGAGGGCGCGGCTGCCGGTGGACTCGCAGATGGAGAGGAGCTCCGCAGCGCGATCTACAGCCTTGGAAGACACGGCAGGGGGGTAGTAGTCGCCGGGACCGCCCTTCTCTACTTCGGTCGGGCCGTCGAGCTCCCGAGAGCGGCGGTCGATGGAGGAGACGATCGCGTCGAGGGAGTGGTGCAGGGCATGCCACTGATGGACAAATTCCGAAAGGGCGCAATTGAGATCGAAGAGACCATTCAGCGATTGGAGGAGCGCCAACGGGGGATCTGTGATTATCTTCGCCGCCTGCTCTTCTTGTGCCTGCGCTGCTTTTGCGCCATTGTCTCCCTGCGATTTCTCTTCTTCATTTTGTTGCTGTTGCTGTTGTTCTCCTTCATCTTCGACTTCGATTTCGTCCATAACTTCCTCTTCTTCTTCAAATTCCATCGGTTCTTCGTCTTCGTTAAGATGGGTAGAAGCGGAGTTAACCATCAACGTCGATATGAGCGGTGGATCGACGACGGCTCGCCTCTCTCTATTTTATAGAGTATTTCTGTAGGGCATGGGGAAGAGGAAACAAAATCGGGGCAAGGGGCGGCGCGTGCGATCGCAACTTTGTGTACACGGCAGCCAATTAGCGCCCATGGTGATGTGTTGACACGTGCATACATCAGGTGCATTACGTGCCAGTTCAGTGAAAAACCATGTCACTCTTGGTCCCGATGTCTAGTCAAACATATTCGGGAAAAAAAGAGATTGAACGATTTTTTAATAAAATATTGTTTTTTCCGTCGCCTTTTTGGTTTTGGAGATTATTATTTATATTTTTTACAATAATTTTATTTTAATTTTTTTAATATTTTTAGATTATTTTTTATAAATAAACCTAAATACCCTCATATTCACCTTCCATCAAATTTTTTCGAATTTTTTCTCCTCCTTCCTCCTCTTCTTCTTCTCCTTTTCAAACTGTGCAAGCTTTTTCTTAAGTTTGCATGCCAAGGATTACCACAACAACAGTAACTAAACTGGCAGTATAACCTTTCTAATTTCCTCTTCTGCTTCCTCTCCTCCATCATAACAAGCTTTCTAATTTTTCTCTTTCGCTTCCTCGCCTCCTTCTATTTCTAAGGTATCGTTGACGGGGATCTTCCTGGGACGCTCCTCCCGACTGCTGAAGTGGCTGATCACGGTGCTCCGATTGGGACGGGATCGCTATTCCCTCCGGGCAAGAACTCCTCGCCTGCGCGTTCAATTGGGACCTTCGGCTTCGCACCTGCACAAAGGTCGGGTCGGAGTGCCCGGCCCAACCCCTCCGACGATCAAGTTAGTGAATAGTCGCATGGGGTTTGTTATCTATGTTGGTGTCCTCCTCTTTCCCATTTAGAATGCGAGGGTATTTATAGGGAAGTTTACTATTTCCTGATGTGCTTGTTTGCAGGGGGCAGGCTCGTACTCCTGGTAGCGTTTGACACTGGTGTTGGCGTGGCGTGAAGGATCGAGCCTGAGCAGGATGTTTAATGTGCCTCGGTCGGCGTTCCGATCCGTTTGACCAGGTGGTGTCAGGTCAACCGAGGAGTCATCTGGGGCAGCTGACGTCAACCCGAGTCTTATCGCCATTATTACCCTCATCAAAACCAAACTAAACTTGTTACCACTTCTTCAAAGGATATTTATGAAGAATCACATATGAACCTCTACATGGTATTGCAGTTAAGGAGAAAGAAATAGAACAATAATTGAAGGAGATAGCAGATAAGATTTCATCAACTATATGCAGAAATTTCTCTACTCTATTAAGGGAAATCCTCTATTTTGTTGAGAAAAATTGAAGGACATGTTAATATATTCAAGCTAAAGCTATTTCAATAAAGCTTCTTTAATAATTATTCTTATCTTTTATTCTTTCCATCATGGTATCCCGCTTGCCAAGAGCAAGCTCTTTTCTCGTTGTCGACTCATCACTATTGCTTCTCCACCTCCGATGGCAAAAGAAAAGGCCAATGACAAAAGAAAAAGCTTTTTACTACTGCTTTTCCATCGTTAGGCCATCGGTGCGACAAATCTTTTCTCCTCGATGAACGACAACTGTCTTCTCCACTTCTAGTCTGTGTCAACGTTCATTCCCTTTCGTTGTGACATCTCTAGTGCTACGCTCACCAACATTGTCCCACCTTTTCCTCCTCTGTTGCAGCTTTCTTCTCTATTATAGCATCGTCGTAGCTTCCTCCTCTATTGCATCTCTATTACAGCTTTCTTCTCCGTTGCACCTCTATTGTAACTTTCTCCTCTGCTATAACATCACTATGATGTCTCTACTGCACCTCTGTTGTAATTTCCTCCTCCGCTATAATATCGCTACAACATCATTGCAACTTCCTCCTCTACTGCAGCTTATTCCTCTGTTACAGCATTGCTAAAGCTTTTTCCAATGCTGTAGCTTTCTCCTTTGCTCCATTCGTCGCCGTCGATGTCGTCGTCACAACCGCAGCAACAATAGTAGCAGCGATCTGCTCTTGCCCTACTCACGAAGCCTCTGGCTCCTTTATTCTGTTGAGGAAAATCCTTTCTTCTAATCTGTATAAATGGGAGAGGGACATGTTAATATATTCAAGCTAAAGCTACTTTAATAAAATTTTTTTAATAATTATTTTATTTTTTATTCTTTCCGTTAGAAGAGATAAAAATGAAAGGGAAGTTAATGGAAGAAATGTTGCGGTGGTGCTACTTTGTTTCGCGAGCCTTTTTTGTTAGAATAGTGCAAGAGTGACTCTTTTCCAGTAAGTTAGGGTTGGGAGGTAATCCCACTAACTTAATTAGGGGCCAACTGAGCCCTTAACATACCCAAATTGGGCCGAATGGAATAGCCTATTCGGACCTAGAATTCCTAGCCGGCGGTGGCACCGCCTAGGAGACTCGGTCTCCCAGGGATTCTGGGCGGTAGTACTGCCCCTGTCAGGTACCTGATCTCGGTCTTCGAGCACTGTCAGGTCGTAGTACCGCCTAGACTAAGCGATAGTACCGCTCAGTGACAGATGACAGGCAGTAGTACCGCCCAGTAATGACAGTGGTACCGGTAGGACCTCAGAAATCCGAGAATGGACACTTTTAGGCTCCATTTTCAAACTCATTAGGGCCTATATAAACCCCACCCTTTCCTGCATGAAAGGGCAACGAAAACTTGACATTATCTTGAGTCTTTGAGGCCTTAAAAATATTGTAAAAGCTAGAGTTCTCCTCCTTCTTTCTTCTAAGTGTCCAGATCATTCAAGAGAGGTGTGAAACTTGTAAAGGTTGTCTCCTAAACTCGGCAAAAGGAGAAAAGCTGTAAAAGGGTGGTTGGCCTTCGCCTATTGAAGGAAGGCCTCTAGTGGATGCCAGTGACCTCATTGGAGGAGGAAACCGATAGTGGATGTAGGTCACGTTGACCGAACCACTCTAAAATCTCGGTTTGCATTTACTTTGAGCATCTTTCCTTTATAACAAACTGTCTCTCCTCCTTATTGTGCTTTAAATACGTCTACATTCGCTTTAACGTAAAACATCTTCTGAGATCGGCTTAATATGAAGACTTTATGAAATCTACGTTTTTGTGATTTACACTGCTGCAAATCACCTTAGTCTTCTCTTGCATTTTCACTTAAGACTTCAAGCGCAAATTCCTTCCGAAACGAATTGAGTTGAACTCATTCTCGTTGAATCAGCTTTAATCGAAAAAAGGGTTTTTGAAATCATAAAAGTTTTCCGCTGCACTAATTCACACCCCCCCCCCTCTTAGTGCACTCTTGATCCTAACAATTGGTATCAGAGCAAGGATCACTCTCAGTTGGCTTAAAACCCAAGAGAGATGACATTTGCCAATAACCAAGAGAGTCGCTCAATTACACTTCTGCCCATGTTCAATGGGACGAATTACACCTATTGGAAGACTCAAATAAGGATCTTCCTTATTTCTATAGATTTTGAGCTTTGAAATATTGTAAAAAATGGATTTCAAAAGTCTTCTCTTCCAATGATCGATTGGAATGAATTAGAGAAGAAAACTTTCGCTCTAAATGCAAAGGCTATGAATGCCTTATTTTGTGCATTAGATAAAAACGAGTTCAATCGTGTTTCGATTTGTTAAATTGCTTTTAATATTTGACATATACTTGAAGTGACTCACGAAGGCATGAGTAAAGTGAAAGAGTCAAAAATCAACCTTTTAGTATATTCTTATGAACTATTTCGAATGAAACCGAGTGAGACCATAGGAGACATGTACACCCATTTTATGGATGTTGTCAATGGTTTGAAAGGATTCGGTAAAGGTTTTTCGGATTTCGAGCTTGTTAATAAAGTTTTAAGATTCCTTCCAAAGAGTTGGGACCCTAAAGTCATGGTCATTCAAGAGGCCAAAGATTTAAACAACTTTCCTCTTGAAGAATTAATTGGGTCACTAATGACCTACGAAATGACATGCAAAGTTCATGAAGAGCATAAGGACACCCTTCCAAAGAACAGGAAGGATATGACACTTAGAACATAAGAAGATTACTTAAGAGAAAACTCAAGTGATGAGGACTTTGACGATGACTTGGCACTTTTAACAAGGAAATTCAAAAAAATTCATTAAAAGAAACAAATTTAAAAATGACATTAAAAATAAATTTGAACTAAAAAAGGATCAAGCAATTTGTTATGAATTTAAGAAGTCGGGACACTACAAAAGTGAATGTCCCCAAGCCAAGAAGAGGACATCAAAGAAGAAGGTGCTCAAAGAAACATGTGATGACTCAAGTGCATCCGAAGAAGAGGAGCCCAACACCGAGCAAGTTGCTTATTATGCACTAATGGCCATTGGAGAGGAGGTATCAAGTTCAATCGATGCAAATTTATCATTTGGCGAATAATTAAATGCTTTTCATGATTTATTTGATGAATATAAAATAATTAGCAAAAAATATAAATTATTAAAAAAGGAGCATGAATCTCTTGTTAGTAATTTTGATAAATTAAAAATTGAGCATAATGATAGCTTAGCTCTATATTGGAAATGCCATGATTTAGAAATAATTCAAAAGGAGAACTTGCTACTCAAGGATACCTTGAAGAAATTTGAGGTTGGTAGCAAGTCCTTGAACATGATCCTTACCAATAAGGGTCACGTTCATAAAAGAAGTGGAATTGGATTTGTGAGAAGCTCTCACCAAAATCCAACCACTTTTATTAAAGGCCCTATCTTACATTATTCACACCAAAACAAATGTAACTTTTGTTGCAAACATGGACATAGAGCTTATCATTGTCCATTCAAGAAAGTTAGTCCAAACAAATTGATTTGGGTTCCTAAAGGAACCATAAAGAACTCCATGCAATATGATAAGCAATTTAGATCGGTTTTTGAGGCACCCAAGGTCAATTGGGTACCTAAAAATCATCCTCTTTTTTAGAAATGTATACCATCACAAGCTAGAAGCAAGAGATGATATCTTGCTTTTTTGATACTCAAGGTTTATGACTAGAGATCCAAAATGACTCATATAACGCTCTCTAATCTAAAATGACAAAAAGAGAATCAGTAGAATTAAAACTATCAATTACAAAATGATACTTATATTCCATA